GAACAGGCTGCCCAGAGAGGTGGGGGAGTCCCCAGCCCTGGAGGGGTTCAAAAACAGGCAGAGGTGGCACTTGGGGACATGGTTTAGTGGGCATGGGGGTGTTGGGTTGATGGTTGGGCTGATGATCTTAGAGGGCCTTTCCAACCTTAGTGATTCCTGGTTTTACTTTCATGAAAAAATAACCCAGCCCCCAAGCCAGGAAACACGAAATTCTTCCTCTCCCCTGAACTGGTTTAGTGGTGGACTTGGTAGTGTGAGGTTAATGGTTGGACTGGATGATCTTAAAGGTCTTTTCCAACCTCAACGATTTGATGATTCTGTGATTCGATAAGGGAAAACCCTTCTGCCAAGCAAGGAGGAAAACTCTTGGTGGGGGTACAACCCTGGGTAACCCCCAAACCTGACCAGCCCTGGCTCCAGGGGTCACCTAAAAGAGGGCAGCATCTCTGGGGAAGGTGTCCCCAGCAGGTTGTCCCCACATTTTGTCCCTCTTCCCACCTCTGGCAGCTGCGGGCAGGATATTTGCGTGATCCTCGTGTCAGATCCCAGCAGGACGGGGGATGAAGGGCCAGGATTTCTCGGGACCCCCCCAGATCGAGCTGGGTTGGAGTTTGTTCAGGCTGTGGGAGCTGGCAGTGCCCTGACGGCTCTGGGATGCCCCCAGAGTGGGGTTGTCCCTTACCTGGAAGGGGCTGCAAGGATTTAAGAGTCCCTGTTTTAAGGAAGGATTTTGTGCGTGCACACGTGTGGGTTGTGCAGGTATGGGCAGCTCAGAGCGGGGAAGGGCTGCGTGTGCCAGGCACACCCCACCGGCTGCTGCCATCATCCCAGTGTGTGCCCATCGCATCACACCAGTGTGTGATCCCAACTCATGTACCCATCGCATCACACCAGTGTGTGGTCCCAACTCATGTACTCATCACATCACACCAGCGTGTGATCCCAACTCATGTACCCATCGCATCACACCAGTGTGTGGTCCCAACTCATGTACCCATCACATCACACCAGTGTGTGATCCCAACTCACGTACTCATCACATCACACCAGTGTGTGATCCCAACTCACGTACCCATCACATCACACCAGTGTGTGGTCCCAACTCACGTACTCATCACATCACACCAGTGTGTGGTCCCAACCCATGTACCCATCGCATCACACCAGTGTGTGATCCCAACTCACATACCCATCACATCACACCAGCATGCACCCATCCCAACTCACGTACCCATTGCATCTCACCAGCATGTGATCCCAACTCACGTACCCATTGCATCTCACCAGCATGTGATCCCAACACACGTACCCATCGCATCACACCAGTGTGCGCCCATCCCAGCTCACGTACCCATCGCATCACACCACATCTGTGTGCCCACCTCACCAGTGCATGCCCACCACACCAGCATGTGCCCACCCCATGCTGGCAGTGCGTGCCCACCACAGCACCCGCAGTGTGCACACAAGGCCATGTGCGGGCAGCTGTCCCACTGCCTGCAGGGGACAGGCAGGGCTGGGCGATGCCCCCAGCCCCAGGGCACCCCGCAATGGGTGGGCAAGGCTGGGTGATGCCCCCAGCCCCTGGAACACCCCACACTGACCCTGGCTCTTTCCTCCTGCAGGCCCCGGAACGCTTTTGCTTCAGACGCCCAAGGAATTTCACGCTATGACTCTGGCTGGTACGGCACCGTCACAGGGCTGCACGTGGGGACAGGGGACAGCATGGCTCACTCAAGCCCATGAACACAACCCTGGCACCTACCCCATGCTGGGGCACCCCTAGTTTGAGTGGGACCCCATCCAAACCGCCTTGGGGATCGCTCTGCCCTGGGCTAACCCCTGCCCTGGGATGCTCACAGCATCCCGGTGATGGCAGGCAAGGGGTTGTGCATGGCGATAACACACCAGGACAGACATAACTTGCCTCTGCATGCCTCAGTTTCCCCTTTGCACACCTTGCTTCCCCCACCCAAATCACCCTGTTTTGCAATATCTGGGCAAGCTTCAGTGCCAGCTGCCGGCCCCGTCCCAGCCCTTCCCTGGAATGTGGCAGTCCCTGCCCCGGATGCCTGGCAGGATCCCCCCTACCCCTCTGACCCTAATCCCACCATCTCTTCCCAGCTTACAAAGAGAAGATGAAGGAGCTGCCTCTCGTCTCCCTCTTTTGCTCCTGTTTCCTCTCGGACCCCCTCAACAAGCCGGCGTACACATATGAAGGTAGGCGCCTGCTGCCCACCCACGGCCAAGGAGTGCACGAACAGTGGGAGCTGTGGGGGCTGCAGACCCCCCCTTGGCATGAGCGGGGTCACCCTCAAATCAAGAGAAGTGGCTCCACAGTTTGCTGGCACTGGCTGGAAGCTGGGAGCCAGTTTGGGGTCAGGGCAGGGGGGCTCAGGCAGCCCCCCCGTGCTGTGGCACCGCGGCACGAAGCACTGGGCGTGGGCTCGGTATTTTTAGGCAAACGGTGCTGGGTGATTCAGACTGATTCATGTCAGCGGGTCCAGAGGCGACAGCGGCAGCGGAGGGGGATGCCCAGCCTTGGGGTGCTCCTCCTGGCTCGCTGTACGGGGATCTGCATCCAGAAAGGGGCTTCATGGTCCCATTCCCATTCCCTGAAGCAGGGCTGAATGCTGCCCTACTTGCTCACCTCTCCCTCAGGGGGATGCCCAGCCCCTCAGCTCACCCAAATATTCCCAGCTCAACTCCCTTGATGGGGGTCTTGGAGTCCGTAGCCCAACCCATGGCATTGGGACTGAATTGCAGGGGTGCATTTGGGGTGCAGGGATTTGGGTGAAACCAGTAAAGATCGGGGAAGGTGGTGGTGTGTGGGTGGGCTGCAAGTGTGGGACCCTGGGGTGGCTCGCCCGAAGGAGTGGGATGCACCTGTAGCAGCAGTCAGCCCATGTCCCTCTCCCAGCAGACACGGTAGACCTCACTTGGTGCGTCATCTCCGACATGGAAGTCATCGAGCTCAACAAGCGGACCTCGGGGCAGTCCTTCGAGGTCATCCTGAAGCCCCCGTCGTTTGACGGCATCCCCGAGTTCAATGCCTCCCTGCCCCGGCGGCGCGACCCGTCCTTGGAGGAGATCCAGAAGAAGCTGGAGGCAGCGGAGGAGAGGAGGAAGGTAGGCCCAGCAGCTCATGCACGGCACTGCAGCATGGGGATGTGTCATGGGGACACACAACCTTGCACTTGGGGTGTTCAGCAAGGCACGCCCACCTTTCGGGATGTTGCTGAGTTTGGAAGGGATGGTTTTGGACGGGAGGGTAAGGAACCCAAGGTGCACATGGCCATTGCATCTGCTTTGCCCACACAGTACCAGGAGGCTGAGCTGTTGAAGCATCTGGCAGAGAAGCGGGAGCACGAGCGGGAGGTCATCCAGAAGGCCATCGAGGAGAACAACAACTTCATCAAAATGGCCAAAGAGAAGCTGGCGCAGAAGATGGAGTCCAACAAGGAGAACCGCGAGGCCCATTTAGCGGCCATGCTGGAGCGCTTGCAGGAGAAGGTGAGAGCCTGGCAAGGAAGGAGGGGGGATGTGCTGGGACATGGGTCCAGGAGGGTGTCACAGGACACACGGGCACCCTGCATGGCTCTTGGGGTGGCATTACCCCCTGGGGACACCACCAAAGGGGGGGACCCCTCTTCCTATCCCACTATGCAGCGATACCCAAACGCAATGTCTCACCCGGGGTGGGAGGGTCCTACCTGGGGACCCACCAAGCCCAACGTGTCCATAGGCTCACGCGTGGTTGGTGGGTGGATAGCTGGGACCCATATCTCATCCACAGACATGCAACACCTTTGCTTTCCCCATGTCCCACCATGATGGCCTTGACCCACTGCTGGCAATTTTTCCACCTCCCGGGTGGCAGATCTTCCCTTGGTCTCTTCCCCAGCGGCCGTGGAGCCATCAGCTCCCTGATGGAGCTGGAGGGGTCCGTGCTGCCATGCTAGGAGATGCTTCCACCCTGCCAGCCTGTGCAGACCTCTTCTCTCTCCCCGAAGCAGGTCTGTTCCCAACCTCAGCACGGAAGGTCCCACCCTCACCACCTCCAGCTCCCTCCAAAACATCCCTTCTGCAAGGAGCTCGCCCAGTGCCCTTCTCCAAACGCCTCAGCTAGCCTTGGGTCAGAGGCAGAGAGCACGAGATAATGAAGGACAATCCGAGCTAACCCCATCTCCTTGGGGCTCCCGGTCCATCCTGTCTGGTTGACGTCTACCTCCTAGCTAGAGGGCGAGGACAATCTGTCCCTGAGTGCCTCCACAGTCCTTAAAACACCCCAGGGGAGGAGAGGACGCTGTTGACCCATCGGTGGTGTCCCTCCGGGGATGAACCTCGCAAACGCCCTCGTGCCTTCGAACCCCTCCGAAGCAGCTGGCCAGCCCGTGGGGACCCTGAAGTCTGTCCAGCTAACGCGTGTCCCCCCTCCTCCTTCCCTCCTACCCCCCTCCCACAGGACAAACACGCAGAAGAAGTGAGGAAAAACAAGGAGCTCAAGGAAGAAGCCTCCAGGTAAAGAGGCGATGGTTGGACTGACAGCTCCGGGGAGGTGGCAAAGGCTGCCGCAGCGCAAGGTTGGATGGTGGAAGGGTGGACGTTCCTCTGCTTTCTTTGTTCGTGAATGTAAAGAGTTGACCAGTGAAGCCATCCTATTCGTTTCGGG